CTTGGGGTGCCCAGATGAGGTCTGTGACCTGGTGCGTTACGATCGCAGCACTGGCCTGATTGGCATTTTATCTCTGCAAAGCCTCCTGCGACAGCTGCTGCCTGCCCAGCTGTGACCCCTGTCACAGAGTTAAGGTGAGCCTGACCCGTACCCCTGGGGACCCCAGTAATTGCTTGGTTCCTGCAGTTCCCGGAGCTGTGTCGTGCGCACTCCTGGCAGGAGAGGCTGTGACTGCAGGTGGTACAAAACCACCCTATGCTCTGTGCAGAGCCACCAGCTCCTGAGCAAAGCAGAGTCTCTAGCAGCTGAGGAAAGGCAGAGAATAGTTCTGTGTGCCAGCAGGCACGCGGTGCAAGCTAAGGGAGCTTGGTGGGAGGTACAGCTGCAGGGGCTGCTCCCAAGAAAGCACCTGTGTGTTCATTGGAGTGAGCGTGGGATTTGCATGGGATTCTGTGTGCCAGAGCCCCAGCATGGCTGGACCTCACATGAAAAGCCATTTGTGTTTGCAATGCCAGGATTTGTTCCAATATTACATTTCTGCAGCCCGCCATCTTCTGTAGTTTATCTAAGGGGTGATCAAAGGGTGTTGGTGTCAGGGCCCTGACAGGTTATCAGTGCTGGACTGTGTGTTGGGGCTCTGTTATCATGCCAGTGTGCTCCAGCCACGCAAGCCACAAACAGCAAGGTGCAGTTGCTGGGGGAAGGTGGTGGGATGCCCGAATCCTGGGGCTGGAGCTGCTGCTCTGCAAGGGCAGTGCGAGGGGAAGTGCTGTTGCCCTCGGACAGGAGTTTCCCACGCAGAGACTGCCCTGCTGCCCGCGAGCGCTGCAGCTCATCCCCATCCCTGCAAATTCCTGCCCTGTTTCTGCCTCCCAAGTGCTGCAGCTGCTGCAGGGCAGAAAAGTTCTTCTGCTACCACTTGCGCCTTACCTGGAGCTTTTTTGGTGTTTTATCTCTACAAGGTGTCTATCACCAATGTGACTTTCCCAGAAGCAGACTAACAACTCACCCCCAGGAGCTCTTCCTGTGACTTGAGCCTAATTTACCTGTCAAAATTCCCATTTCCTCTATAGACTCACAAACCATTTCACCGCCCTTTCCATAGACACAGATCCTAACCTCCTAGCAAAGCTGCTCCTGTGCAACCTTCTCTTCTTCGTCTTCCTGTCTGCTCCTGTCTCCCCCTCACCTGAGCTGCTCTGCCCCAGCTGTTATTTTTGCTCATTATTTGCTGAGTTCCTTCTGTAATGGAACAAGACTGAGCTATTACTTTTGGTGCCTCATAGCAAATTTATTTGGAAGAGGACAGTAGCTCATTCCCTTAGTAACACCAGGAATCACTGTCTGCATTACACCTGGAGGCAGTGTCAGAGTTCAGCATCAATGAACCCCACTGGTATATGCTGGACAATGAGGACTCCATCCCTTCGCAGCTCCAGACCACACCGTCCCCATGCACTCAGATCACATGAGGGCACTTCTGTATTCATCTGCTCTTGCCTTGCTCCTGCTGGCTTTCCTTCCCCCAAAGCCTTGGATTGTCTTCCCCATAGTATGGGAACATCATTTTGGGTTTTCTTTCTGGATTTCTGTTATTTCTATGTCCTCCTCTGCCACTTTCACATGATCCGTACATTTTATTAAACTGCTGTTTCCTCCTCTCTCTGCATCACTTCCCTTAATATGCCCAAGAGTTCAGAGAGTGTTACTGAGCTCAGGTCCTTCTGTGCCAAACCCTCTGCAAAGCAAAGAGCCATCCTTCCCCTCCAGACTTCATGACCCCAGGTCCAGCAGGGACCCCTGTGCGTATACTGGGAGGGACAGGCCAGAGCTGGACAGTTTTGCGCCATCACCGTTGTTGCTGCTCTGCACGTCTGTGTCGGTGCATGTGCAGTTATGCCAAGCTGCACCACCTTGCCTGCATCAGTGCTTTAGCAGTTACTACCAGGTCCCCCAACCTGCACGTGTGGACAGGCCGCAGCTGCCTGCACCCCAGCTGTTTTGCACATCTGTGCATTTCTGTGAAGATGGGTGACCATGCCCAGCTTGCAGCTCCATGCTGCCTGCATGCCAATGTGAATCCTCCCCTCCATAGCCCCTTCAAAATGTGCCCCAAGTGCCCATGAATTGTGCCAGAAAAGGATGTTCGTGGTACGTGTCAGCAACCCAAGGAAATAATGGCTGAGAACAGGCTGTCCCCAGAGACGGTGGTTGGGGGGTCTGGCTGCCCAGATGGACAGCCTGGGCTGCCCCAGTCACTGACTCACTTCTGTGGCAGCGGTACCGGTTTGTTCCTTCCTTGGTTCCTGTGTTATGCATTGAAACACATAATAAAGTATTACAGAAGTGGACTGTGTTGAAGGCCAATGCTTGAGCGTCGGCCTCTCAGTGGAGCGGGAGGTGGCAGGGCGATGAAGCGCTGGCTTCTGCTCAGGCTGAGCCCCGGGCAGAAATCTTGACAGCCCAGAGTCCTTCCTGCAGCTGCGGTTTTGGCTCATCAGCTAGTGTGGCAACACCACCACAGCCCCCCAAATGCATGTACTTATTTCCTGATACACAACTCCCACCTCCAGATGCACGTGTATCTCCCTCTGCTTAAGGACCGAGATGCAGCCAATCCCCCTTACCACCGCTCGGTGAACCTAAGACCTTGCCGTGCCCCTGAAAGATGCTCACGTGGAGCACGCAAAGCCTCCTGAATATGTTGGTGCCAGGTGGTTTGTTTACAGAGAAGCTGCTTCGCCCTGCGGTAGGGCCAAGCCTTGAGCCTTGCGGCACAGGGTTGGCGGGGAAGGGGGCCAGGGGAGCGGCCAAAGGGTCGCCCCCCCCCCCCCCCCCCCCCCCAGCCTCAACCGCGGTCCTTCCGGCAGCTTCCTAGGGGAACCCCCTTGAGAAGGCTCCTCCTTTTTGGCTCTGACCTCCTTGTATTCCTGGTTTTGCATGCCAGATGGATTTCTCCCCCCGCAAGCTGCCAGGTTCCTACCCACTTGCATTGGAGCTGCCTGGACAGAGGGCAGAGGGGCTGCCATGGGACTGGGGCCCCCCGCACACCAGAAAAACAGCCACGTCTGCTCGGTTAAAGAATAAATGGATGGGCCTCCCAGCAGGGTCAAAGTAGACAAGCAACCCACCTTGGGGTACTGAGGGACGAGAGTGAGCGAAATCCTGGAGAAATAAGCCCGGGCAGTTGTATTTTTAATCTCTGTTAAGACATTGCTGAGACCAAAAGTAAAATACTGCATCTAGCACAAATTCATGTGATTGGAAATCGTGTTGAAAAGCCCAGGAAATACCCTCCAAAACATAACTGAAATGTATTTTCACACCCCTCAGATTTGTGTCCTATCTTACCTGAAAGATATTAGAAATTTCCAAAAATTATGGCATATATTGTATTTTCACAGGTAGCTGTTAAGATGAGCCCAGAAGGCAAAACATGAGGTATTGACTGCAAAAGTAAAGCTCAGTTTAGAAATATGGCATTTAAGAGCAAAAATTGGCTGACCACTGAAACAAGCCAGCAGGTTTCCCTCCTCCTCCTCATGGCTTCCAGTGGCACATTCCCTCTCTGAAATGTGCTTTAAGTCACTGGCCTGTGTCCCCCATCCAAGGCCTGACCCAGTCGTCCCCTTTGGTTTACATTCTCTAATGTGTATTACTTACTTCTCCGTACGCTGTGCTCTATGAATATCTTAGGGAGTAGAGAAATAGAAAGGCGGTTTACAGTGAAATGGAGGTTTGACGGAGATGGAGGAAATAGCCATGTGTCAGGGCTGCAAGAAATGCTGTCCCTGTGGTGATGCTTCATGCTCTGGAGCATGATGGACAGATTCCCAGGCTATCAGAGACCGTAACGACCGGGCTGTACCCTGGGAAATCTTCCCAGCCCGACGGTACCAGCCTTGTGAATCACTAAGGAGGGGGAATGCTGCTGCTGCTGCCTGCTTTTAGCTCCAGCGTGACCCATGCGGGCATGACCGGCTACAGCACAAACAACTTGCAGTTACCTGTGTCTCATGTGCTGTTTATTGTACCACAAAGATGACAGGAACGCAAAAATTATAATGTTCATATAACTCCACGGTTAGAGATATAGACAGGACTCTGTAATGGGTGTGGGGGGATAGGGCTGTCTCACCCAAGCACATGTGCCTACCCGATGCCGCAACCGGCATTGCCAACGAGTGTGCTCAGCTCTGCAGAGCCGACACAGGCAAGGTGAGTGCCTTTCTAGCACGTCTTGCAGGAGGGGGAAGCAAGAAAAGGAGAAGGGACGCTGCGGGAAGCAACACTGGAGAGACGTGCGCAGAAACGCTGCGATGACGCACCAGGGCTGCCTGCGCCACGGCGGGTGACAGATTTGTTTGCACGAGAGCACTCGTCGTGCCACAGACCTGTTCTCTCACCACCACGGTTAACGAGGAACGTATTTATGGTCCTTGAAAGCACATGCAAAAAAAGCCGCACCCCAGCTGTGAGGCTGGGGGTCTCCTCCTGGCACCACCACTGGGACAGCCCCAACAAACCACTGCAGGCAGACGCAGGGCTAAATCATGCTTTAATCACACTCCGGAGTGACAACACATTAAGGGACAGAGGAGGGCTGGGTCCAGCACCGTAGGGCAGCAGGGCTGATGCCTGAAACCCTAAAGGGAGCAGCAGAGCAGGCTCCTCTTCCCACCCCACCGGGCTGCCCAGGCACGATAGGCACCATCTCCTTCATCCTCAGCATCCCAGCAGGGCTGGGAGAGCAGCAGTGGCTCTGGTGTCCCTGTGCCGGTTCAGCCCTGCTGGCAGCACACTGGGGCACTGTGGGGCTGGCTGCCTTCAGCCTCCATCACCACTCCCTGCCCGCCTCTGCTCTCCTTTCCTCTCCACCTTTTTCCTCCAGCCCCCAGCCACGTGGGGCCAAAAACCGAGGGCAGGTGGGGAAGGGCAGGAAGCGGATGGAGGCTGGGGGGACAGTGAGGAGCCGCAGCGATGGTGGCTGGGCTGCAGGCTCAGATGGAGAGGTGCGACTCCCACTCCTCTTCCTCCGGCAGCTGCTCGCTTGACTGGATGTAGTTGTCCTCGATGAAGCCGTCGTCATCCTCAGCTTGCACGTTGTCAGCACTGGGCATGGGGTGGCTGTCACAGCCCCCTCGGCCTGAGGAGTCCCTGTCCCAGCCGCTGCCATCCTCCATGGGGTTGCCTCCGATTGAGCTGGTTTCGGGCAGGGGCCGGTGGTGGTAGCTGGCAAAGTTCTTGTGGAAGAGCTTGCATTTCGCAGCCAGTGTGATCAGGATGGAGATGCCAATTGCTGCCACCAGGAAGCCTACCAGGGAGGGCCAGCTC